ATCCAAGCAGCAGCCCAGCAGAGAAGGAAATCAGCACCTTCTGCACCATACCAGGCTACATGCCCTCAACATGCAGAGGCTGCATTGCCAGGGGGAGACAAAGCAGCTTCAAGCTCCGTCCGGGTATTCTGACTGCAGCCGCCGATCACTGTCAAAATACAAGAAAAACAACATGCTAGTGGAAGCCAGTGGAGGGATTGGCAAAAGGGGGTGGTGGCCGCTACAAAAACAGGGGAGAAGATAGGTTGCTCACGGTTATTGCTAAAGGTGATGAGCGTGGATATATTACTGAAGATGTTTGCATTATATCATACTATTCTTTAACGAGACTTTGGAACTTGTGAACCTTGGAAACATTTTTATATTTAATGGCGTGTTTTCATTGGTTTTGTGTTTTGACACCTACAAAATATTGCACATATATAGGTTCATGATGTAATTTGTGTTGATATAGTTTGGAGTGCTGTTAAAGATTTACTGTATATTTTAGGTTTTTCAGACCACAGTAAACAGTAGGTCCTTCATCTGTTTATTTTTTTTACTTAGCTTTGTTCACTTCTTACAGTTAGGAGACTAGATCATGGGGTTTTTAAAAAACTTTTTTTTACATTTATGTTTCCATTTTTCTAACAAATACATTTATGTTATCAAAACACAACTATCTATAGGTAGATGTGTAAGATTTATGTAAGGAATATTTTCATGGACAACCATGAATGATATAGAAATTCTTTATATTCTTTGAAGCTGACCTCATAGAGGCTACAAGTGCAGTATTTGCAAGACATAGATGTAAAGCTGACAGGAGGGACTTTTCATCTCTATTTCTCTCTCCTTTCTCTTGTTATTTCTATCTTTCATCCCTCCCGTGTTATTATTACTTTTAATGTAAATCTCCAAATTGTAGATAATATGTTACAAGATCCTTTTCTACAAGTATCCATCCAATAAATAGACTAAGACTGTTTCCCAAAGTGCAGGTTGCTCAGTTAATGCAACAGTATAATACAACATTCCTCTAGATGCACCCATGCTAAAAAAAAAGTAAGCATTAAAACACTGAGCAGTATCTGATTCCACACAGTTTCTTTGGAGCATCCTGCAAATTTTCCAAATCTGAAAGCCAACCACTGACATTTTACTTATGATAAATCAGTAATGGAGATAGAACATAAAACTTAATGGTGATTTTGTAATGTCTCAGTCTACTCTGTAACTATGTTTTTGTTATATATGTAAAAATGTATATATTTGGGACTCTCTATGGCACTAATTTAAGGATTTATTACAGTCCAGTTAGTGTTCACTTCAAATATCCAGTTAGGTTAAGGAAATTATTAAATAAAATACCATTATACCTTGTTTTCTCGCTCTCTTTCCCCATCTCTCCCTTTCTCCCCTTCTCCCTCTCTCGCTCTTTCTTAGTCTCTCTCTCTACCTCTTCCTCTCTCTCTCTACCTCTTCCTCTTTCCCCATCTCTCTCTCTCTCTCCTTCTCACTCATCTTTTATATCTCTCTCTTACTTTTTACCCCTCTCTATTTGTCCATCCCTCCTTCTGTTTTCTTTAACCCATTCCTTTTTCCTCTGAGTCCCAGTA